TTTCCGTCATACCTTGACCAAGACTTATAGGTCAGGTTAGAAAAAGTGGATGAAATACCACAAAAGAGATGTCATTAAAGTTGAGGGTGATGATGGCACGAATGTATAAGCGACATGTCGCATGAGGGGTCTTTGCCAACAGCGTGCCATAAAAATTTTACCCATGAAAAAATCTATTAGGCAACCTTTGGGTCATCTGTTAGTTTCTCCAAATGCGGTAGCGTTCTTCCGTTCGACAGAGCCAGGACGCATAAAAACTTTTCTTTTGCTTTCTTTTGTGGCTTATATGATTTCTTACAAAACGACGTTCTCTTGGACAAACTTCTCAGAAAAGCCATAAACAGCTCTATCGATCCCGATTTCCGTTGACTCGTTAGCAGCCGAATGTACGTTTATTTGTGTCTGGTATGCCGTTAAAATTGAGAGTGGAGGCAATCGACCATCCGCAATATGGACAAGAAGTTACATTTAGTCGCTGGATTAAAGCGATACGTGGTTCAGGTATATTTGAGTACTAGTACAGACGAAGAAATTGTCCAAACTCGCCAGACGCAGAGTATGTTTTGTTACAGTATGTAATATCGTATAATGTGCATAGTATAACCTACAGATTGACTATAATGGGAAATCCTTCCCTGTTATTAAGGCAGAACAAAATAAACGATCAAAAAATATATTAGGACAAAAATGCCAAATATATGTAAATGGATAATTACGTTACGCCAAATCTTAGCATCCTAGAGTGTGTTATTTTGATTAGTCGGTGCAACAGGTAGGAAAGTTTTGTTTTAGAGGATTGGTAGAGAAATCAGTCATAAGCATGAGTTCTGACTTCAAGGTGCGAACTACAGAGAGAAATTGCGAACCCAACCCACCCCTTCACTTTGAAGAAGGACGTCGAGAAAGTTGCCAAAACGTCTGTATTGGCCAATCCGCCAATTGACCATGTTGCTTGCATTGTGTGACCAAACCGTGTTCTGTGTTGTTTTCACGATAGTTATGGGTTGAAGGATTTTCTTAAAAATACTGTGTTTAGGAGAAACTGATTTGTTTGAAAACCTGCACAAATGCTTAAGGGCCATAACAATCAACTTTAACCCTTCGGTTGAAGGATTGACCGGTTGCCTTGTCATCATGTGTGATTGTTGTGAAAACCGTGGCGTTTATACCTGGTCATTGCAAGTGCCATGATCCCTCTTTATCTCCAGTGACAGTGCAGTGAACGTTTGAATTATTCCTCTATCTTCTGATCAAGGAATGATTTCTATATATTACGCCATATCCATGTTTCGTTTCCATATGAAGGCCAAACTTCGACTTTCGGTTCCAATGGCTTCAGACCTGAAACATTTGGACACTTAGGCTGTCCATCAACTATCATTCCCTCACCACCTCAACGCATAAAATTTGAATTTCAAACGGGCTGCACTGCCTCTGACGTGTCTGCAGATAGTCACTCGTGCAGATAATGATCAAACAATTACGTTGATCTTGGACCGGCCTCCATACGGCCACCCGTCCCCTCCCTCGTCCCCCCCCCTCCCAGCTACTTCGAAACATAGCAAAAGTGTTACCTCGTCTGCCCATGATGATGCTCGTCGCAATGTCACTAGTTCGCTCGTCTCTACCGAAACCGACACTGTCCTCGTCGCTAGTAATGCCATCGTGTTTCAGAACGCAGTCGACGTAAAGCAGAAGCAGGTGCTGCGCGACAGGTGACAGGTGAATCAGTTGACGGTCAGGACGACGTCGGTTGGTCCTCAGCAGCGAGCATCGTCGCCACCACACTTGCGTCAGTACTCCTCTGTCTATCGTGACTTGCGTCTGAGTGACAGTGGCATGAGGGTGCAGGCAAACGATTGGCCGTGGCCGGCAAGTGCAACGCAACCGCAT